AGAGAGAGAGAGAGAGAGAGAGAGAGAGAGAGAGAGAGAGAGAGAGAGAGAGAGAGAGAGAAATAGAGAGAGTGTGTTTAGGAGCAGGACTACATTTTAGTGGTATATGTCAGGGATGATTGATTACAGGATGGTAGTTTTCTTTACTGTGTATATTTTCAGTAAAGTAACACAAATAATTTGTGACAAATGTAGTAGAAAACAAAATATCTGTTGGGAATACTGACTCTGCTGTGCAAGCCAAGAGGATAGTAACTATCCTCTCATGTCCTTCACCCTCATTAACCAGTAACCAGGTTTTCTCCATTGCTCAGAAATGATGTATACCTAGGACTCTCTTCTACATTGTATCTCCACCTCTTTCCTCTTCCTCTCTTCTGGGGTCTCTCTCTCTCTCTCTCTCTCTCTCTCTCTCTCTCTCTCTCTCTCTCTCTCCCTCCCTCCCTCCCTCCCTCCCTTCTCTCCTCTGTCTCCTTCTTCTCTAATTGTCTGTCTTTTCTTTCTTCTGTCTCTTCTATGACTTTCCCATATGCCTTTCTCCCTCTCCTCTTTCTTTCATGAACAATGTTCTCCCAACAATATCATCTCTCCATCTCTCCTATAATTAATCAGGCATGAATGACTGGGAACAGAAATTTTTCCTTATATGTTACACAGAAATGTCAATGTTTCTTACTATGACTATATCCTGTTTATCACTTTTCTTTCTGTTTTACTTTCTAAGTATAGTTAAGATGTTCTCATGTATTTCAAAAATTGAACTGCTTAATTTTCTCAACCAGATAATTTTGTACTTTTTAAGGTAATTTATTTGAATTTGAGGTATACAATAATGGGATACTCACAAAACACTGTAATTTTCAATTTTATTTTCTGTACTTTTATTCTATTTTATTTTTTTTTCTGGTCAAAACTTTCTAAGATCTGGCCAAAACATTTTAAGTAATTTTAAACAACAGTAAGAAACAATTTTCTAGAAATAAAGCATGCAAACAACAGCAAAGCCTTTTTATTTTCCAATTAAGCAAAGAAGTGATTCTGACTTGCTCCTTGAGAAAATATTTTCCTACTCATTCTGTATACTGTATTTTATTTACTTCTTTATTACATATGTTAAATAAATATGAAACATAATTATATTCTTTCCTTTTTTCAAAAGTGATTATAGCATGTTAAAAACATTGAGTTTACTCTATTAATAATTTAAATTGTAGCAGACTCACTGAAAACTTATTGAATTACTCTGTAATTTATTTGATTTTAAATGAAAGTATACACGTTTTAAGCAGCAAATAGATTTATGTTTTAATTTCTTTGTTCAAGTCGGATCTGTCTGATATGAACTATGAAATTTATTGATTTTATAACAGTTTGTAAATCTGGAGAAAGTTTTAAAAATACCCATTGTAAATGTTTATAATTTATTTACAAAGGCATTTTTGACTGAATGTATTATCCAAGTATTTTTAATGTTAGCATTTTATATTTTTAAAAGATATGTTTTTAGTTTGTAACTTTTAAAAGAATTAAATTTGCAATTTAAATCTATTTTAAGATATTTCTATTTTTTGTGATTTTGAACAGCTAGTGGTAGATCTGTTCTCTTAATTTTCATGTTAGATACCTTTAATTTTCAAAAGAAACTTGTCATTTCTTTGCTTCACACATAGAAAATATTAGCTACAGAATATTTCTCAAAAAGACTGAAGTAGGAAAAGAAGAGCATTGTTTTTTCAACAACAGATTTTGACAAACAAATTTAGGGGGAAATATTGTGGGAGGAAAATTGCAGAATACAGAATATAAATACTGATAATAACAAAACTGTAATCTTTGTTGCACAGATGGGAGGAAACAGGGAGTGGTATGAAGGAAGGCTTCCTCTCTGATCCTCCCTGGGGCACCTAAGGAGAAAGCACTTTTAAAAGTTAACATTGACACTCAACTGAACAGAATGAAGAGTCACTAAAGAGCAAATATACTGGCATTTCTTTAAGATAGTTTCTAGAGTGGTTTAATTAAGGTAATACTATTCAATTGGTGGGGTCATGAACTGAATAAAAAACTGAGAGAGCAAGTTGTACACAGCACTTGACTCTCTCTGCTTCTTGCCTCTACATCCAATATGAATATCTGCCTTCAATTTCTGTTGCCATTCAGCCCCTGACATGATGGACTGTGTATTCGAACTGGGAACCAAGACAAACTCTTTCTTCTTTAAGTTATATCTGCCTCACCAACCTTTACAGTAGGGTAGAAGCATTTATATCCTGGTTCTTAAGGCCATTATGTTTTAAGACTGTTAGGAGTTGCTTGGGATTCAGAATGGCCACAGAGCAAGGCAGCTAGGTGAGTGGGGCACAATGTGGAAGGCATGAGATCTGTACAGTTATAACTTAGTCACTTGTGTCAATCTGTCAAAGGCACGAGAACATGAACAGAGGTTTAGTGTACAGAGCCTCTCAAGAGAATGGACAAATTATAGGTAACTGGGTTAAGAAAGCCCAGGAGGTTCATCTCACATACTGCAACACATACAAAGGCAACAAAAGTAAGCACACTATTTTCATGGACCCAAAGCAGCTGAATGTCCTGGGTTACATTTCCAAATAGAATAAGTGAATGATATGGCTGTGGTGCTGATGTAAGACACCATGACAGCCACCAAACTGGTTAACAGCACACACTAAAGAAATAAGAACTCTTTAATGTAGATAGCATTAAGAAAGCATCAACTACTTATTAGGGAGTGTCTTCATTACCTTTACACAGGCTAGCATTGTTTGAGAAACTGTTAACAGAGAAACAATTCAGATCAAATTGGCCTATGGGTACTTTTATGAGAGGTTGACTTGGTTGCTTACTGGTGTAGGAGGGTGCATTGTTGACAGTGCCATAAGCAAGTGGGTTTGGGTTGTACAAGTAAGCTAGTTGAAAGTAGGCCAGAGACAGCTAGGATTTTCTTCAAGTTCCAGATTGAGTCCCTAGTGTAACTCCCCTCAATGATGGATTTTGACCTGGAAGTAAAAGCCAAGTTAACCATTCCCAACACAAGTTGCTTCATCAAAATGTTTCATTAAAGCAGCAGAATGAATGTAGGACAGTCATCACAGGTTCATTTATCCCTCAACAGCACTGGCTTATCATGGCACTTCCTAAATTACTCCTGTGTTCAATGGGGATCAGACCGAATCCATCGAGAAAAGAAAATCAAATGTCTACTGAAGTGCTTTATTTTTAAATTTTATTTTACTCTGCGAGTATCAATACTTTAACTGCATGTACACCTTCATGTCAGAAGAGGTTATTGGATCACGTTATAGATAGTTATAAGCCACAGTGTGGTTGCTGGGACATGAACTCAGTAGCTCTGGAAGAGTAGTTAGTGTTCTTCAACGCTAAGCCATCTCACCAGCTCCCATGAATATTCATTGCCCATTTGATTTCAGCGTTTTTTTGTTATTAGCAATATAAGTTTAAATTTATTTACAAAAAAAGAAAATAAATAAATAAATTAATTAATTAATACATAATCCTCCTAAGGGTAGAGGGAGGAGGAATGTCCTTCACTTAAAATTTTCCAGTTGAAAATTTGACTTTATAATTGCACTAATTATCCTGTTGTTTTCTAATACAATTTAATGAGTATCTTTAAAAGATTTTTAAATTTGTATCAAAGTCTTATCTTATTCATTTTATATTTGTATGTGTTCATCTGTATGCACAAATATGTACACATGGGTATGTGCATATATGTGCAAGCATGTAGAGGCCAAATTTCAACATGGGATATCTTCCAAAGCCAACTTTCACCTTACTTTTCAAGTCAGAGTCTCTCAATGAACTCAACTCTTAATAATCCATTGGTCTGGGTAGCCAAAAGTCCCCTGTGATCTTTTCATTTCTGTCTCTCCAGTGTTGGAAGACAAGCCATTATGCCCAGCTGACATTTTCTATGGTGTTGGGGAATGAAATGAGACTTTGTGTAGCATGCATGACATCAACTGAGGCATCACTCTAGCCGCCTCAATACTGAGTATGTGATTCAACCATAGATGAAAACAATATTTGTTGACTTAGATCAAAAAATATGATGTCATTTCCTTCTCGCTCTGCTTTGGCCTTGTGCTTTTCAACAATTCTGTCACCATTTCACATGCTTGTCCTGAAGAATTACAGTTTGTTTTCTTTGATCTTGGGGTCAGATGAAACCAGGGAGACTTCATATTCCATTCAGAGCTTGCTATGGCTAATACCGTCTCTCCAGGAATGTGATGAGATTTCTGGTGTTATAGACACCTGCAGCCAGAATAAGAGCAGAAAAATGCCCTCTTTGATTTTAAATGTATGAAGCTCAAAAATCTGCCTCTTTTTTTCTTTTGACCTTATTACCCTTCTTCTTGGCTCATAGATGGCCTCATTTTTTCTGACCTTTGATGCTACTTCCTCTCTCCTTTAGTAAAATTTCTTTAGCCCAATTTAAATGCAGATTCTGAAGTTTCTGCTTTCAAGGTTTCTCAAAATATGTGACTATTTTCTTTTGGTTTTGATCTAATAGTCAATTTTGTGATTTTTCTCCAAAAAGTTGGTGAAATTCTTCAACAATAGGTACAAGCTCCTGTCTTCTTTTCCCTTCTCAACTGAAATCTAAACAAGCTAGGTATCAATGAGCCATTAGAAGCAGCAGAAGTTGATGAACTTGGGTCACTGTGGAAAAGACTATTACTCTTAATTTTCTGGTAAAACCTCTTTATTTTTAAACATTATTTTGAGGACTAGTAAGAGAGTGAAGTATGTAAAATCACTTGCCAACAAGCCTGCCAGTCTGAGTTGATCCCTTGGATCCAAATGAAGAAAAGCACAGACTTTAGGAAGCTGACCTCCACAGATGAGCAATAGCAAGCACACATCCAAGACATACACACAATAAAGAAAAAGTATAATACAACATTTTTAAACATTCATTTGAATGTAAGTCTGTGTGTATGCACTTATACACAAACACACATATATATGAGTCAAGGATCAATTTAGAGTATGGATATTAAGGCTCTGTCCATGGCATTGTCTGAGACAATGTCTTTCCTTTGGACTTGAGACTGATTGGCAAATAAGCATCTAAAATCCATCTGTATTTCTTCTCAGTACTGAGTTTTAAATTCTTGCATTCATACTAGACTTTTTTTGAAGATTAGATTACTAGTTAATTTATCTATTTTATCTATTTTATTTTGTTTTTGTCAACTTGAGACAAATTCAGTAATCTAGGAAGAGAGAACATAAGTTGTGGAAATACCTCCATCAGATTGGCTTATATGAATTTTTAGGGCCATTTTCTTGATTAATGACTGATTTGTAAGTATCCACCCCACTGTGAGCAGTGCCATATGTTGGTAAGTGGTTCAGGACTAATAAAGAAGACAGGTAGACCAAGCTATTTAAAGCAAACCAGTAAGAGGTATTTTCCCATATGCTCTGCTTAAATTTCTCATTTTTGTTCCTTCAGTGACTGACAGTTACCTGGAAGAATGATATAAAAATAATTAATTTCTTCTTCAATTGACTTTGTTGATGGTATTTATCTTCACAACAGAACGCAAGTTAGAACAATGTTCTGAGTATTGAACTCAGATCCTCATTTTTACAAAGCAAATGCTTTTCTAACACTTATCACAATGACTAAGATTGAAAAAAAGACTAAAGACATCAAGAGATAACCCATGATGCCAAGGATATGGAGCAAGGGAAACATTTTTTTCTATCGGTATTCTATGTTTTAGTAATCACAAGAATCATATTTTTGAGTATGTGAAAATAATTTATATTTTAACATGACCTTCATGCTTTTGAATGACAAAACTATTATTTACTATTCTCAGAAATTTCTCTAAACTTAAACATAAAGTTGTATGAACACCATGCATATATTTATTTTATATTGTTTATTCATCCCTATTCATTCATTTATATATGTAATATGTATATCTCAGTTACACTCTTTACTATTATCTTATATCCCCTTTTCATTGACATCCGTCTTCTTCCAATAAGTCTCTTTCCTATTCTTTCTTTCTTTCTTTCTTTCTTTCTTTCTTTCTTTCTTTCTTCTTTCTTTCTTTCTGTCAGTCTTCCTTCCTTCCCTTCTTTCTTTTTCACTTTCTGCTTGCTTAGTTACTTCCAGCCCAGAGTACGTCACTGTTTGCCACTGAAAATTATTTTTTAGTTTTTCTAGAAATAGTCATAGTTCAGACTCAACACTTCCCTTATAAACTTGCTAACCTAACCTAGATAATCCCTTACAAGTATGCCTGGCAGCTTGCTCACAAAGATTATAGATCCTGTTAACTTCACATCTAAAAAACAGTTGATAATTACTCACATATTTGTTTTACCCACAGGGAAATCACAGTTTAGTATGGTGGAACAGGCCTAAAATATTACATACTGAGTAGGCTAAGGCAAATAACTGAATGAGATATTGTCTTTTAAAAATTAGGGCAAAACTAGAGAATGCAACTTTATTAGTAGAATTTCATCTTTAGGACCAAATGAAAAGGATTGTGGAGGTCACACCTGGAATCCAAGTACTCCTAAAGTAAAGATGGAGGAATTAGTAGTTTAAGAGAGGTTAAAAACAAGCCTGAGATACATGAAATCCTGTACTAAAATGATAGAATGCTTTTTTATTGACATTAACTTAAAAAATGAAAAATGACCATATACCTAGCTTACCAGTAGAATGGCTTCATAGCATGTGAATGCATCTAGGATCAGCCCCAAGTAATACACACACACACACACACACACACACACACACACACACACCTGCATGCATACATACATAAACATAAAGAGAGTAAAAAGAAGTATAGGTTTTTAACTTGTATAGCTGACATCAGGAACACAGATCTTGTCCCAGACATTTCCAGATCTTGATGAACATCTTCCTAGGAGGCTTCTTACTTGTAGCCTAGTCCAGATAGGGGGCTTAAAGGCACTCTTTTCAGAGACCTCTGCCCCACTCTAAGGAACCTGCTGGGAGGGTTGACTCACCTCATAGTCTATGTCCAGGGAATCGGTCTCACCCTTGATCCGGAAGTACTTCTTGTTCCTGTCCACGGTGAAGTTTGCCTGCTTCCCCACACGCTCTAGGAGAACTGAGTGCCAGTACTGGTCATCCAGAAGACTACCCAGGATGGCCGAGGGTTCATTGCTGCTGACCCGGGCTTTGCTGCCATCTATAGACAGAAGAAGGCAGAATGGACTCTTTGCCCAGGCAGCTTTGAATGCTATCAACTGCCCTGAGCAGCAGGTGCCTGAGGTTTCTTCAAACAAATCCAGCTCAAGCAGTACCTCTGCAATGCACACCACCAGGCATTCTGAGTTATGCTCACACTTTCCTCTTATGTCCAGAAGCCAGTTCTCACTCAAATGATACACACCTCCATTTCCTGACAGAGAATGCAACGTTTCTAGGACACCAGTAATTTCATGGTGGCAGGAATTCTTATAGAATTGACCACAGGAATAATATTGAAAACAGAAGTTTTCACATTTAGAAAAAAAACAAATTAAATATAAACACATACAATTTTGGAGGATTATAAATGAAGAAAGAAGATCTTGATCCAACTTCAGAGGAAGTGAGTGATCATACAGAGTGTATCTGTTCACATAGGCACACACACACACACACACACAAACACACACAAGTAACCATTCCGGATGCAACTGTTGAGTGATTACTGTATCAACTGAGTCCCTCCACACAGAAGGTAATGGCTACCACTACCATACAGAAATTGTCTCAAGATTAAAGGGAGACTGTCATTACTTATACATAATTTTATAAATTGTGGGTGTGCATGTGTGTATGTGTGTGTGTGTGTGTGCATGTATGGAGTTATTTTTTCTCCTTCTGTCCTGTGTGTTCTGGTATCTAACTCTATCATGCTTGGAAACAAGAATCTTTAGTCATCTATGTGCCTCTGAGACATTAAATTTTGTTTGAAGGAGTAGTTTATGTGCCTACTCCACTCATAATATGATAGACATGTGTATCTCTTCTCTTTCTTGCATTGGGTTCTCCTTAAACCCACCAGTACTCAACTGTGCTTAAGTAACAATTTATGACTTTCAGGAGTCAAGAGCAGCTAGCTAATCTCCCTGAGGCTACTCGCTCTTACTTTCAGTATGGACGGATGGTGCTGTTTGTCTCACTGAGTAAGGATGCCTGACTTCTTGCAGTTGTTGGAATGGAGACATCACACTTAGCACACTTGGAAAGAACTGGTGAGTTAATGTCTGCTTCTGTTTTGTTGATTTATTATTTATTTATTCATTCCACAAGCCTTGAATTCTCAGCATTGTCAGATGATGTTAATGACTTACTAAAATTTCCCCCCTGTTTTCTTCCTGCCCTTCATCTGAATGACCATGTAACCTAACAGTACTAGTCATGATCTTATAGAGAGAAGATATAGAAGAGGTGGATCTCTCTCTTCTGCAAGTACCAGTGTTGGTATCTTCTAGTTATAATAGTTAGGACACATGACCACATAAACACAGACAAGAGACTAAGCACACAGGAAGAAGAAGCATCCACCCAGATTGGAGGAACTGGCACCTCAGCTGAAGGAATAGTGCCAGAGCAGAGAAGAGCTGGCTGACAGGGTGAGCTACATATGCCAGGACCCTGTGTGTGAGACTGCTGCATTTGATTGACACCAAAGGAAGTTAGATTAGATGCACTGTAAAATATGATGTAGTGCCACATTTCCAGTATCCATTCTTCAGCCAAAATGCATCTACTTAGTTTCCAGTTTCTGGCTATTACAAGTAAAGCTGCTATGAATAACATTGAGCAAGTGATTTTGTGGGATGGTGGAGTTTCTTTGGATATACATGAAGGAGTGATTTATCTGGGTCTCAAGGCAGAACTTAGCCAGTTTTGTGAGAATCCAATGAATTGTACTACCAAAGTAGTCATACAAGTTTTTACTCCCACCAACAATGGAGGAATGTTTCCCTTGCTCCACATTATTATGACCATGTGCTATCTCTTGAGGTTTTGATCTTAGCCATCCTGACTGGTGTAAGGTGGAAACTCAGAGATGTTTTGATTTAGATTTCTCTGATGACTAAGGACATTGAACATTACTTTAAGTGCTTCTTGGCCACTTGAGATTTCTCTGTTGAGAATTCTCTGTTTAGGTCTATACCCCCATTTTTAATTGGGTTATTTGAGTCGTTGTTATCTAACTTCTTAAGGTCTTCATTAATTTTCGATATTAGTCCTATGTCAGATGTACAGTTGGTGAAGATGGTTTCCCTATTTGTAAGCTATCATTTTTTTCTATTCAGTGTCCTTTGACTTACAGAACTTTGAAGTTTTGTGGGGTCCCATTTGTCCATTTTTCTTAGAACCTGAGCCACTGGTATTCTTTTCAGGAAATTACCTCCTATACCAATACGTTTAAGGGTATTCCCCACTTTCTCTTCTATGAGATTTAGTGTATCTATTTTTACACTGAAGTCCTTAATCCACTTGGACTTGAGTTTGTGTAGGGTGATAAAAGTAGATCTATCTTCATTTTGTTTTACATGTAGACATTAAGTTAGACCAGCATCATTTGTAAAGATGTTTCTGTTTTCAATTTTATGGTTTTGCCTTCTTTATCAAAAGTCAAGTGTTCATTTATTTCTGGATTTATTTCTGGGTCTTCAATTCAATTCTGTTGATTAATGTGTCTCTTTCTCTAACAAAGCCATGCAATTTTTATCACTATTCCTCTGTAGTACAGCTTGCAGTCAGGAATGGTGATCCTTCTCAAGTTCTTTTATTGTTCAGGATTGTTTTAGCTATCTTGTTTTTTTAAATGTTATTGACTGATTGATTGTTGTTGTTGTTTTTCCATATGAAGTTGAGAATTACTCATTCAAGGTCTATAAAAATTCATGTTGGAATTTGGTGGGAATTGCACTGAATCTGATTGCTTTTTGTAAGATAACCATTTTCAATATGTTGATCCTACCTATCCATGAGCATGGGAGATTTTTCCATCTCTTAAGATCTTATTGTCGTTCTTTATTGGGGGACTTGAAGTTCTTGTCATAGGTCTTTCACATGCTTGGTTAGTTATACAAAGATATTTTATATAATTTGTCACTATTATGAAGATTGATTTTTTTCTCTAACTTCATATTCAACTTGTTTATCATTCATATAAAATATGGCTATTGATTTCTTTAAGTTAATTTTGTATCAAGCCACTTTGCTGACGGTGTTTATCTGCAAGAGAAGACTCTTAAAAATTTTCTGGAATTGCTTATGTATACTATCATATCATCTGGAAATAGTTTTCCTTTACTTCTTTTTTTACACTTTGTATCCCGATGATCTCCTTTAGTTGTCTTATTGCTGTACACTTCACAGACTCAAAGAAGTTAAACAAGATAGAAGGCACAAGTGAGGAGGCTTGAATGTCAATCAGAATAGGTAACAAAATAGTGTAGGAGGCAAATAGACCAAGAAAACATGGTGGAAGAGGGGATAGTGAGGAAAACAGTTGGTGTTCAGGATCAGGTGTGGGAAGAGACAGGGGAGATAGCCAGGTGGCCATGAGAATAAATATAAGTTTGCAGCTATTGGCTGGTGGGAACTGCAGGGAATACATCTTGAGGACATTCCAGACCTGGAATAAGGGAGGCTCCCAAGAATCAATGGAGTGACATTAATAGCCAGAAAAATATTATTAAATTATGTTTCACTTATTTGAAATAGTGATTGCCACTTGAATTACAGTTTTTGCTATTTCTTTGGTGGCATTTAAGAGGAATTCAATGTCTTTAATTAAATATGATGTTCAGGTTCTTAATATGATCTACCACTGTGTTATTCCATGCACTTGTTTATTTATGTCGAATGATCTAAGTATGAACATGCAATGGTTTGCATGCATAGGCCAGAGAAACAGTTGAGAAATTTGGTTTTCTCCTTCTACTTCCTGGATACCAGGGTTTAAATTCAGATTGTAAGCCTTGGCAGCAAGCACCTTTACCTACTGAGCCATCTTACCAGTCACAAATTTATTTTTTGAATGAATTCCAAAGAGGGAGATATAAATAAATTCAATCCCCTCTTGTAGTTGTATTTTACTGAAACTCATACCTCTTACATTAAAGTTAGTAAAACGTGGTTTGACTAACTAAATGCAGAAAACAAAATCCTACTTTAGATGATTACTAGCCTAGAATTATATTGATGAAGAAAAAAAAAACCACAATGTTCATCTAATGAAATCACCCCTAGAAATCTAGACTATTTTTATGGAAACTGTTAGAAATACAATTTTCATCATACTAACAAAGTTTTATTTCAGGACACCTCATTCGAGTTTTATCTCAGTTGCATTTTATGTTCAATTACCCTATTTTAACAGATTTTCAATTTATTAAAGAAAAGACAAACATACTCATGAATAGCTGAGAAGAATACAAAGAACATAGTGAGGAAGAGGTTGGTTTGAGGAACAGAATTTTGAAGGAAATTTATTTCTAATTAAATGGAACTTTTTTATCATTTATTTTGAAGAAAACAGAAGTTTTTCCTAAGCCTTATTGCAAAGAATATAGGAAAAAGTGTTTCCACTTTTAAAAGATTTATTACTTTTAGATTTTGTAAACTTTACCTCATACACATGAATGTTTTTCTCACATGACTACATGTGTACCATATATGTGCTTTGCCCTATAGAGGTTAGAAGAATACATTGACTTCCTTGGAACTGGAATTATAGGTCTAGGCTTGCAAGTTGTCATGTATTCATGTTCTGAAATTTAAGCCAGTTTGTCTTTAAGAGAAAAGGTGTATTTAACTGTTCATCTGTCTTTCCAGCAGCCCCTTAAATATTTATTTATAGTATTTGTGTTATTGAATCTCTCTCTCTCTTCCTCTCTCTGTCTCCCTCTCCCCCTCCCTCCCTCTGCCTTCTGTCTCTCTTTGTCTTTCTCTCTGTCTCTCTCTCTGTCTCTCTGTCTCTCTGTCTCTCTCTCTCTCTCTCTCTCTCTCTCTCTCTCTCTCTCTCTCTCTCTCTCT